TTAGCTGGAGTTTTGCAAAGAATTTGTAATTTCTTCAGCATAGGTAATTCTTTCCATTTATTAGCTGTATGACCCTGGGCAAGTCACTTGGCAGCTAGGTGGCATAGTGGATAGAGTGCTGAACCTGGAGTCAGGAAGACTCCAGGAGTCAGGAGTTCAGATTCAGCCTCAGATACTCACAAGCTATGTGAGTTACTTAATCTTCATCTGCCTCAGTTTCCTCAACTATAAACTGAGGATAACAACAGCACCTACCTCCAAGGATTGTTGTGAGTGCTCAGCACAGTGTCCTGCACGTAGCAGGTATTTAATAAATGCTTGTTCCTTTCGCCTTCACTTCTCTGTCCTTCAGTTTCCTCATCTATTAAAGTTAGAGGGCTGAAATAGATGATTTCGAAGTCCCTTACAGGTCAAAAAATTTTTTAATTCTAAAATGAAATGGTCTGAAGATAAAATGGTAGCTGTTAATTCACAGGTAGAGTGATACTAGGAAATATATAAATTATATAAACATGTAAATATATAAATTTAGGAGAAACATGCATCTAGAATAGGGCCTAGATTTTGTATGGCAGGTACAACACTTAATACTTTATTTAAAGATCAATATTTAGACAACTTGGTGGCACAGTAGAAGTCAGGTTAAAACCGAATTCAAATACTGCTAGCTGTATGACCACGAGCAGGTCTCTTTACCTCTTTCAGCTTGTTTTCAAAATGGAGATGATAATAAAAGGTGGTTATCAGGATCCAATGATACAACATATTTACAGTGCTTTGCAAAACTTAAAGCACTATACAAATGTTAGCTGTTGTTATCTAATGACTATTAAGCAATTAAGAAGTTCAACACATTTAGGAGAAACGAGTAATTGCTTCAGGGGGCAGTTGAACATGATCACCTGAGACATCTCTTCCAGGTCTAAGTGTCTATGAATCTATGAAATTCAGAGGACAAACACAGGGCTAGGTCAAAGGTAAAAAATTATGCTAACACAGAACCAACTTTGATATACTGCAGCTTAGATAATGAAGTTCATTTTTTTTTTTTACAATTCAGCAATTTACTCAGTGTGTTTCAAATATCTTTAAGCAACAAAAAAAGGTGGTTTGGCGAACAAGAGAAAGAAAGCATTGGTTGGGAGAAGAGTACTAGAAGTATCCTTGTAATATGAACATTAAAATGACAACTGAATCCTCTTCTATAGAAACAGCAGCTAGAAATGCAAATCTAGCTGATCTCCCTGGGTTGTAAATCTCTACTAGTCACAGACTTGGAAGTCCCATTGTGTTCAGTAAACCCTAGGGGGGGCAGTCTAAATTATGACCCTCTAATCCATGGAGAGGCAAACCCAATGGGAACTCAAAAAGCCTAGTTTTTTATTTCAATGTGATACTTAATCTTCTATTACTCTACTAACTGCACAAACCACCCACTTAATTAACCTATTTTTGAATTATTTATGATCTTCCTACTGAGTGGGTGAAAAAGAATCTTTCTGGTTATCTATTTTACTTCAGAAGGAAAGTTCAGCAAATTTCAAAGCTCTATCTTCTTCAGTACCTGCCCCCTTCTGGACATGAGGAAAAGGGAAACTAGAAATAACTTTTTTTTCCTGAAATAAGAAGAGTATTTAACCTTTTCACGCAAACAACTTCAATAATTCATAAGAGGGGAGGAATTCCTTTGAAACTCATTATCAGCAAGGAATTTTTGTATTTATCTGGCACCCTCCATCATGTCCCCTTTTCAGCTCAGAGTGAAAAGATCAGCAAAATTATCTTCTCTCATTATAATCCTGATTGCCTATAAGTCAAATTTATCCCTCAGAATAACAGCCTACATTCACTTGGCAAAAGGCTCATTGATTTACATAATTTCCCTTGCTAACAGTATGGGATGGTAAAAAAAAAAAATGTAGAATTTGAAGTCAGAAGACCTCACCTAATCTCTGTGAGCCTCAGTTTCCTAATTGTCAAAGTAAACATTAGAATGTCTGCCTGGGCTTCTTTGGGGTAAGGCTCAAAACGGCAAAATGTAAAGTAAACAAATATAAGGTCAGAGAGCTCCTGTTGATCAGCCCTTTGAAACGCTTCTCACCATCTGTAAATTGGGTCACTTGGTCTTTAGGGTAGCCAGGATAAACTATCTTCTACCTTACCTTCTGCTTACACTGCATTTATCTTGTAACTGTGAATTTAGTTGTTTGCAAACTGTCTCCCTTATTAGACTGTGAGCTCCTTGAGTTTTGTCTTTCTTCTGTATCCCCAGCACTTAGCACAGTGCATGACTCTAGTAAGTGCTCAATAACTGTTTACTGTCTGCCTACCTCAGTTAACATTTTAACTCTGCTACTTTACTACCTGTGTGACCCTGGACAACTTAGTTAAACTCTCTAAGTTTATTTCTTCCTCTGTAAAAGAAAGGAGTTAGGATAAATGGCTTCTGAGAGGTTCCTTTTAACTCTAGATCTACAATTCTATGCCCATAAAAAGACATCCTTAACTTCCAACTCTGATCTGAGGTAGTGCAGTGGAAAGAAAATAGAGGAATTGGATTTATCTTCTCCCCTTGATACTCACTTATCCCCTTGATACATTTATGTGACTTGGGTCAGACTACTTAATTTCCCTGGCCCTCAACTTCCTTATTTGTAAGATAATTGGGAGGTTTGACTAAATGGTTTCCAAGGGTACTCTCTAATTTTAGATCTATGATCCTTTGCCCACCAGACTTCTGACAATTCAGGCGCTCCTGGTTCTGAAACCTTTCTTTGCCTCCCTCTCAGCAACTTGCTTTACCAATCCCCAGATATCTGTCATACGTAAATTTCCTTATCCCAGATTGCTCCAGCCCACCTCAATGCTTCACATCCTCCTTCTGCCAAGAGCATCTCTTTCCATACCCTTCCTGTTCAGTCCTCTAGTAGAAACTGCTGTAGCTGAACTCTGTGATCTTTAGTTCTATTTTTAAGAGAAGCTCCCTCTTTCTCACTCTAGAAACCACTTATACAAAACACCCAGCATCTCACCCACCCTGCAATTTTCCTTGAGCCTCCATCTCCCACTGTCTGCTTGCAGTAAAACGCCACAACCGTACAGTACAGTGAACTTGTTTCCCCAGGGTTCTCCCCTTGGGCAGACAAGACACAGAATAACAGCTGAAAGGGACCTTAGAGGTCATGTAATTCAACCCTTAACAGGAATCCTCTCTACAACCTGGACAAGTAGTAGCCCAATCTGTTTGAAGACCTCCAGTAATGGCAAACTCATTACTTTCCAAAGCAGACCGCCCTACTCTACCATAGTTCTGATCTTTGGTTATTTTTTTTTCCATTAATTAATATTGACTTCTCTGCACCTTCCCCCAATGCTCTTAGTTCTGTCCTCTGGGGTCACCTGCAGGAAATTCTAACCATTTTCTGGGACAGCTGTGCCTCACAGCTCAGGGGTCCAAGAAGATGGTGAAAGGTTCCCAACATCTGCTCTCCTTGAGCCCAGGATGGCCCATTTTCCTCCCTGTATACCTCACGATTGTCACTCATATTGACTGATGTTATTAGCATACAATCCTCTGTTTGGGTTTTTGCTGTTTCCTATAACTAAAGTAGAAACATCATGAGTCCTCTTTTGCTGATAAGGAAATAAAAACCCAGGGAGTTTCAGTTTATTGGCAGGGCCCCTGGAGCAAAGAGAGCAGTGTTAGAGCTCAAGGTCAGGGTTTCAATTCTGTCTCCTCTTTCTGAGCCTGGAGCTTATTCACTAAAACCTGTAGTCATATATGAAGAGAGAGCTCTTTCCATGTGGTTTCTTCCCAATACTTGCTCGTTTTCACCACCGATCTCCCTCTTCTCCCGCCGCCACCTTTACACCATCAAACGACGGATTTAAATGGCTCTGTCTGTTCAGTCCCCGGGACTCCCTCCTTGGAGCCAGCCCCTTGATTTGCTCATCCAGGAAGGGAGGAAACCCCGGGAGCAGAGGCAGAGAAATCTGAGCTGGGCTGGCTTCCCCAGCTCACCTCTGTGAGGGAGACGGAAAAGATGTTGAATGCTTCCAAGGGTCAGCACCCAGCAGGTCTGAGGCTGTGGCATGGTTTCGACCCCAGAAGCAATCCAGGAAGGATTTTAGGCTCTAGCAGTCAAAAGGTTCCTCCCAACAGGAAGGAAATAATCTCTCCTCCCCTTCTGTTTTTCCCTGGCCCCCTCTCCTTTACCTCTTCCTAGATTCCCTTTTGTCTCTTCTGTTTCTCTATACCCTTCTACCATTTCTCCCCTTTTCCCCACCCCACCTCGTTTTTCTAACTCCCGCTTTTCAATCCTCTCCCTCATCACCGTGAATCGATCTGCCTTTCTCCTTTTCTGGTTTTCCCTTCTCCTTCTCCCTTCATCTCTCAGCTTCTTCCTGCCAACCTCTCCCTTCACCGCTTTTCACTTTGTCTCCAATTATGTCTAAATGCAACCCACCACAGATGCTGACATTTTAAATGTTTAGTTGTTATAGTTACTTGACTAATTGCCGGGCCCGACGGTGACGCTTCTTCTGCCCAACATCTCCACCGACACACACACACACACACACACACACACACACGATGGAGGGGAGAGAAGCGGACAGTAGCATTTCCGCGGGCCCCGGGAGGTACGACCAACCTCACTGACCAGCCCAGGAAAGTTTGCGTGAACGGTGCCCCCAGGAAGCTCCAGGGCCTTGGCAAGGCGAGCAGGACCCTCCCTGCCTTCCCCAGCTGAGCCAGTGTCTCAGGTGGTGTCAATTCCCGTACCTGCCAACCCCCACGACTGTTTATTGATTGCTACGAAGGTGTCAGTAGCGAGAAGCGGCGGAGTGGCTAACCCCCGGGCACCACCCTCCAACCCTATGTTTGCAAAAACTCAGGGAGGGTAGGGCATTATTATAGGGCAGTGAGAATGGTTAAGGGGGGCATGTGGGAATGAGTCCCGGCCCGAGAGAAGAGTTAGAAACTGCTACCGGGTACTCACGTGCCAGATGGCGAAGAAGATGAGCGCCGCGCACAGGACCAAAGACAGCATGTAGCAAAAAGCAGCGAAAGTGAAAGCCATGGCGAAGAGACCACCTGGTAGAGGTGCCCCTCTTTTGCAAGCACACAGAAAGCCCACCGGAGACCCAAGTCCCTCTCTCTCAAAATCTCCCCCAAAATGGTAAGGTAGGGAACCAAGCCTTCACTCTCTCTCCATGCTCATTGGAACAAGGAGGCACAGCAATTGGGGAAAGAATGGAAACCAATGGGAGGGGGGGCAAGGATACAGGGGCTCCCCCAGGCTCTAAAGAATAGACCCCGAACCTAAAAATCTAAGGCAGCGAAAAAAGCGTCAGGTCTAAGAGCCCCAGAAGGGAACCTTTCTCAAATCCTAGGAGAAACCGGGGTGGCAGGGATAGAGGGGCAGGCTCACTCCTGTGAGCAGTGAATGAGAGAGTCCGGGGAAAGGGGGAAGCAGTGCCGAGAAATAACACTTCTCGGACAGAAAAGCAGGGAGAAACCTCCAGGAAAACAAAGGGAATGTAATCCCAGAGAAAGCCTGTGTTCACCCCGACTTAATCCAAGGAGGAGAGGTGCGCCCCGGAACTCTGGACAGCTTTGACACCTCCGAGGCGCACGCGAGAAGCGTCCAGCGGGGCACTGCTCGCTTCAGCTCCCCACGGTTAAAGGATCCGCTATCTCAGGACCTGCCACAGGTTCTTCCCCAGGAAGAGGTCTTCTGGGTCGTAGAAAGGAGAAACGAAAACAACAGCGTGTTCTTAGAGCTCAGCCCTCCCGCCGCAGCTCCCTCCTTGTGGATGCTGTGCACTCTGGAGGAGCCCAGCCCCGGACAGTCTCCGCTGGAATCCGAGTGGGATCCCCAGGAGGTTGGAGACAGAAGCGGGAATAAGCAAGCTCCGACCCACCAAACCTCGGATCATCAAAGCTCAGTCCCTGGAGGCCGCGATGGAGCACCGAACGAGTCCAGTTCCACCTGCGGCTGCTTCCGCTGCCGTGGTTACCCGGAGAGAAGAGGGAGGATGTCCCGGGATCCCCTCCTACCCCGTGCCCCACCCCGCACCTCCGCCGCACACTCCCTCCCTTAGGGCGGGCGGAGAGAGACAGCAGCCACTTTAGTAGCCAGAGGTGCGGCACCGCCGCCACCGCTGCCGCAGCTGCACGCACCGCCAGTTTAAGACTGAACTCGAGGAGGTGTTGCCAGGAGCACGTTGGTGTGCGGTGCGCGGCGGGCGTCGGCCGCAGAGGCAGCACAGCGAAGGGGAGGTGGGTTAGGAGAGAAGAATGAGTTCCGCTGGGCGGGGACTCCAACTACGTGGGTCTTAAGTAGGTGGGGAAGGGGGGTGGGAAGGAAGATTGTATGTATGATTGTGGTGTTTCACGCTGCCTTAGGCTGGGTCGATGGCACAGTGGTAGTCTCATTTGGATTGGCACGTGGAAAATTCAAGAGGATCCCTAAATCCGGAGTTTTGTGCAATGCCTAACACATAGCAGGCACTTAATAAATGTTTGTTGACTGACTGTTGACTATTGAGCTTTCCACTACACTCTTCTGCCTGGGACCTGTCCTAGGATGTCCTGGAAAGGAGTCTAGGAAGCCAATCATAGAATCATAACTGTAGAAGAAGAAGGGACCTTAGGTCAAGTCCGACCTCCTCATATAGTAAACAGCTGGTGGCTCAGCAGATGTAGCGCTGGGCTTATAGTCAGGAAGACCTGATTTCAAATGTGACCTCAAACACTACCTGTGTGACCCTGGGCAAGACACTTAACCTCTGCTTGCCTCGATTTCCTCATCTGCAAAGCGGGTGTATAATAATAGCGCTTCCTCATGGGGTTTGTGTGAAGATCGAGTGAGATAAAAATGGTAAAGCACTTCGAACAGTGCCTGGCACGTTGTAAGCACTAAATAGCTGGGCCTGGAGTCAGGAAGACTGGTGTTCAAATAGGATCTCAGACTCTTGCGGCTGTGAGACCCTGGACAAGTCATTTAACCTCTTTCAGCCTCAGTTTCCTCATATGTAAAATGAAGATAATAATAGCATATACCTGGAAGTGCCTTATTGTGAAGGTCAAATGAGGTATTTTAGCACAGTGAATGGTTATACTTTTCCTTCCTTTCACTTTATAGATGAGGAAACCGAGATCCAAGGAAATTAAATGACTTGCCCAGGATCATGCAGCTAGTGTCTGAGGCAGGCTCTAAATCTGTGCCTCATGAGTCCAAGTCTGGTGCTCCAACCACTATACTTCTCTGATGTCTCTCTTTTGCCGTTTCCTTACCTACTGGATTCCCTAGTGTTTTGCTGGCCCTCAGCCCCCAGATACTTTCCAGGCTGGTCTTACAGTTCAGCTCCAAGAAATACCATGCTTCTTCAGGCTTTGATTCCTTATCATTTACTCCAAATCCAAAAGAGAGTTTCAGAGTATACTGGGAAAAACAAAAAATACTGGATTTTGAGAGACCTGGGTTTAATTCATGGCTTTGTTACTTACTAGCTGTGTGACTATGGGCAAGTCATTTGACATGGAAGAACCAGTCTCCTCATTAGTAAAATGGAAAAAATATCCAACTTCCTTCCTATGGTTATTTAAGGAAAGTACTTTGCATGTCTTAAAGTGCATATAAATGTAAGTTGTGATTCAAGAGAAGCTGCATAGTATAACAGATAGAAAGCCTGGAAGTCATGCCTCCAATACATATTAGCTCTGTGTGACCACTAAGTCATTTAATTGCCCCACCCCACCCCCATCCTGCTCAAGTGTTATACTCAAAAAGATCCCTGAGGGTCACATATTGACTTAGAAAACTACAAGTTAACATTATCTATGTTGTATTGTGATTTTATCTAATTTGTTCAACATTTCCAAATTACATTTTAATCCAGATCAAACTGCCCGCTCTGGAGTTTTTCTGGCTGTTTGAATCCCAAGGGTGGCAAATTTGACACATCTCTGCTTCAGGCAACTGTCAGAGTCTATATAAACTGTAGAGAAGGTGCTGACCTGCATTGATAAAGGAAGTTTCCTCACTTTGGATTTCCCTATACTTATGAAATCCCAAGATAGTCCCTGTCCTGTTATTCTCCAAACTTTGAATTATTATCTTCTTCCTCTCCCTACCTATAGCAGAGTCAGGCTATCCCAGAGGGGATACTCAGCTATTTGCCCAGGGACAATGTGGTCTATATAGTGAAAAGAATACTCATTGGTCTCAGAATCAGAGGGCACAGGTTCAGATTTGGGCTCTGCCGATGGCACTGCTCTGTGTCTCCCTTCTTGTCCTTGCCCTATTTTGCCCTGCCTGTCACTGCCTGCAGAGGACTAACCCATCTCCAAATCCCTCTAATAAATTATCTCCCTCCCTTCAAGGTCCAACTCTTATGCTGTCTTTCAATGAAGTAAGTTTTCCCTGATGCCTTATTAGACTATGAGCTCCTTGAGAATGTGATCTGTTTCATATCCATCTTTCTATCTAACTCCAGCATCTATCAGTGCCCTATACTTAATAAATGTCTATTTGAAATTAACTGGGTGACCTGAGGCAAGTCACTTTATTTTTATGGCCTGAGTTTCATCTTCCATAAGAAAAAGAGAGATAGTAAGACTTGAACCAACTACTTTAAAGATTGCTATAAGGACCCACAAAAGCTACACATATTAAATATTTGGTAACATATGGAAGAGTATAGAAATCTCCACCAACGAACTGTGGCACGTTTCCTTTCATTTTTTCAGGGGCCAGGGGAAGAGTAAGTAAGAATGACATGCAGTCCTTGAGAAGTATGGTACACTAGAAATACCACTGATTTCAGAGTTCCACTCATGAGTCCACTGGCTTTGTGACCTTGGGCAAATAAGTTGAGTTTTCTAAGCCTCCATTTTCTCATCTGTAAAATGGAATTATAATACTTGAACAACTTACCTCTCAAGGGTGGGAGAAAAGCACTTTGTAAAGTGGAAAGCACTGGAGAAATCTGAACTGTTGTTATTGAAAACTCTGGTCTCCTAATAGGGAAATTTTCCTGATGTGCTTTGTGTAAGTTATCCAGCCCTACCCTTACTGTGCTGTGAGGGAAATTTCAGGCTGCTCTGAGTATCCTGGATTTGCTACTGGGAAATCAGCTGTCAGGAGAGGCAAAGAGAAGCAGGGGTGTCTTATAATTTTTGGCGCCCTCACAGCACCAGCTACAGCACTGTGTTGCACACGGCAGACTCTCAATGAACCTTTATTTATTCATTAACTGTTCTGTTACATTCCCTCAGTGTCACGCTCATAGAGTATGAGAGCCAGAAGGGACCAGACCCTTCATGTTATAGATGCAAGTATCTGAGATGCAGAAAGATTAAAATAAGTTGCCTCAGGTAACATTATGGACTTGAGTGGTGGAGACAGGGCTAGATTACGGGTTCCTGACTCAATGAGTGCTCTTTCCATGAGACTAGATGATGCTATACTGAGCAAAATCCAGCCCTGTTTCTGGTCAGGAAAAATGAGAAGCTGGAGCCTTCAAATTCTAATGGCTCTCTTGGCTTACCCAGCCTCAGTCCTAACACAGCCCAGCACTGAGAGCAGGGCTTTGAGGAAAAAGCAGTTCTTTGGTGCCAGAAGATCTAGTTTCAGATCGCCTCCCTGCCCCATGTGTGACTAAATGTTAAATAGTTTGCCCAGGCCACCCTTCCATTCAGCTGTAGTAGACCTATGAACCTCCTTGGTCTGGACAAAACAGCAGAAAGGGTTTGCCGTCCTAAATCACATCTCTTCCGGTGGGATGGAAGAACTGTATTCAGAGCACCTTAGAGCAGCTTTTGTGACTGGCCAGCTACTACTTGCAGCTCTCCAGAGTCCTGTATAACCTTTTTTCTTTCTAAGCAGACTTGAGATTTCACCAGTGCACTCAGTTAAAAATATCCCCTAACAATGCAGATGGGTCCCTTCTCCACAGCCTGTATGTCTATAGACTTAGAGTTGCCCAAGGTAGAGGAAAATTAAGTGACTTGCCAAGAGTCACAGAGCTAGTATGTCAGAGGCAGGACCTGACCCCCCCTGCTCCTGGCTCCCAG